GGCAAACCCTGCTCTCAAGAAATCCTTATGGTCTGGAGGCAAGCAGCAGAACTGGGGCCTTCCCTAGCAAACATCCTCACTAAGGTAAAAAGACACTTGGTTACTGGTGAGTAACCAAGCAGAGTGTGCTACACACAGGCAGACATTCTCTAGCTACTTGTGTTTCCTCCACTCCTCAGCATCTGCAACCCTGCAGAGAGGGTGGCATTTAAAAAGACACAGCAGGTGGTTAATAAATAGAAGCAGTTGAAAGGGATTTCAGCTAATACTTCAGAGGATGGGAAAGCACTCTACTTCTTTAGCTGGAGAATGATGTTAAGTTAGAACAGCTGGAAATGGCCTCCTTTAGCCAGCTGGGACTCGCCTGTTTAAAAAAAACATCAAACAACTTGTACAAGCCATCACTGACTCCCAAAGATGAGTTGGTCATAAGTATTACTAGGAGTAGTTTAAAAATTCATTATAAGAACTAAATATAGTTTTAGCTATGCACAGCCAGCCATGCAGAAGGCTGGACATTAAAAGCCCACAAACTCTAACGGCCTAACATTTTGGTGGGTTTGGTCATGTAGACAGTTTAACCGATGCAGAAATAATATAAAAGTGTTCATATCAGCAGAGTACTATACAATAGTTGAAGTTCAAGTTGGGTGTTCACATATGGATCCCCTCGAACACTCAAAACATTTATCAAACTTTTGGAACAAACCCTCTATCTTCTTGAAGTCTAGAGCACATTATTATCTGCAGCCTCTCAGTATTGTTCCCTCAATATTCTGAAGACAAAAACAAAAATGTTAAATTGCCTTTGGTTGCTTAATCATCACACTTGGCACTCAACAGAACAGAAAATGTAGAACTCTATAATCACATATGTTTAAAAACAAACAAACCAACAAAAGGCACTCAAAGGTGCAGAGATGACTTGACAGTTAGCAGTACTTCCCACTCTTACAGAGCACCGAGTTTGGTTCCTATCACCTACAGGGAAACTCACAGGCCTCTCTGTAACACTAGCCTCAAGGGATCCAACACTGTCTTCTGGCTTTCCGGGCATCATGCAGAAGCACAGTACACATGCATGCCTGCACGTGAACACAGGCACACCACATAAACATAAATAAATCTTTAAAAGAATAGCACTCTAAAGCTATTACCCCAAAAGCTAGTAACTTATTTAAATAAAAATTATTATATTTCTTCAAATCTTGAAACTCTCAGTGAAAAACTACTTATTGACAAAATTACTGATATAAGAATGAAGGTGCAGTAATGAATTCACAGAATAGAACAATGCAAACTTTATTTTCCAAGTCCTGCATATTTAGTAGTTATTAGTACAGGTCTGTACATTTAAATGCATGAGTGCATGTAATCTACATTTTCTTTTTCATCCCTAAGAGCGGAGCTGGAGATGTGGAGAGTAGTGCACTTGCTTAAGTCTCATTCCCATCTTCCTGCTATTCCTCATTCTTAGTCCCTAAATATGGCTAATTGTCTTTCGTATTAACAGGCGGGCATCTGAAGGTATTAGATTACATAGGACAAATACTTCTGCCTTCTTGACATAGCTCGTCAGAGAGTTTGTTTTCCCATCAGCTGGTCCCTGTTTGCATCCTCCAGAGGTATGTTAATTTGGAATTGAGCATCAGGCCCACTTGAACTATAAAGAGACCACCCCACAGTATATTAAAAGGTTTGCATCAACGTATGCAACTTAAGTGCACATGCATATAATTAACTAGACACATTACCAGTGTGAGCTGCTAATTTGGAATGAGACACAAAAGACTAGAATGTGTGTGGAAGGAAAAAAAAAACTTTAAAATTAAAATGACTCCATAATGAAAACTGCTTCATGCTGTGTCTACTATTTTCATGTAAACTTAATATAACTGTAAATATATTTTAATGAACAGTAGAAAGAGGCAATTACAAAGAGCAAAGGAGGGCAGCTCCACAGTGAAACATCAGAACGGCTCTTTGCCTCCGTATTAAAAGTGCTGCTTGAAGACAGAGGGTGAATTATAACTTCATAATTTCGGGGGAAAAATGCTTTCTATATTAAAGATACATTTGCCAATGAGCTGGCAGTGCAAACAAAACCTCATGAGAAATGGGCACTGGGGAGGGAAGGGCAGTACAGGATCTCAGGAGCAAACAGACAACAGGAAATAGAAGCTTGACTGCTAAAAATCATATATATCTTATTAGGTGTTTACACTTTGTTAAAATAGCTTTGTGTTCCCTGAAGAATTTTCTAGCACATAAACTGGTGATCGATATTACTAAGCATCAAAAATCAGTACAGATATCACACTGAAAATCACCCGAGAGTTGGACAGCCTTTATTTACATGCCTTCTGTCTTGGAAGAGTTGGATAACAGAATTGCAACTTAAAATGAATATGATAAATCTCATTGTTCAAATTTCAGAAAAGAATACAGAATTTTGGACCTGGACATATTTTTGGTGTTAGTGTGATCCAGATGGGAGCACAAGAGGGCAAACAATGGGAAAACATCACAGACCATCTCTAGTGCAGAGCCTGTGAGGCAGTGGGGGCGGGAGGCACAATGTCCTTTGAAGCAACCTAGAAGTTCGGCCCATGAAGTGCCATGAATTCTAATTTTTTAAAGAGAGGAATGGAGCTTGCCAGGCACTGGAGAGAAAATAATCTATATTAACTTTAAACGAACTGCAAGGCTAGACTGTAAAGTCAGAGCGAGTAGGGCAGCTTTACTTAATGCATGTCTTCTACTTTGCATATTGAAAAGCTCCTATATCTACTTTTAAATGTTAAATGAAGACTCTGGACTTGGCTAAAAGAAGATGAATAATAGTATCAATTATTTTCCTTGTTTTATGGTAACAGAGCCAATTATTACAAATATATAGATGAAATGAGAATGTGAACGACCAGGCAGATATTTTAAATTACATTTAAAATGATACAGAATCAGTGTCACACAAAATCCTAGTTACTCAATGGTGCGACATCCTGACAAGGCACATGGGATTGTGTGCGTGTGGTGAGTCCACCTCTGCACACGTCTCTAGCTTCTGGTGGTCTCGCCTTCCTCGGCGGATTCACAGAAGGTACATGATGCATACTTACAGAATTTTGAAACATTAGCATAAAAGAGGTTTTATGATTGACCTAACATTGATCTAAAAATCAATGAACCAAATAAGCTAAGAGGCCTCCGCAGGGCATCCAGCAATGGGTTTGCTGCGTCTTCATTCTTTTCTGTTGTCTTTCAAATATTAATTTTAACAAAACGACATACACAGACACGGTGATCACCACACCATTCCACTTTCACTGGTATTTTCTTAACATCCCCCCAACCAAATCTGGAAGTCTTGGGTACTATATTTTATATATAAAGTTTCAAAATGGCATGTTTAAGAATACCAATAAATATTTAAAGGGCCAAAATCATATGACTGCTTTGGCATTCCCTTTATATGAGAACAGCAAACAGAGAACCTGCGTCTTATATAAAGTTTTAGCGGTTAGCATCATTATAACATCATCCCCGCAGGCAAGGTGAAGCCGAAGCACATACAAAGAGCTTATATTCTTTCTAGCTAGTTAATAAATTCCAATCTAAAAGACTATACTGCTAATTACAAAAGGAATATTTTTTAAAGCATACAAAGGGTGCAATTTGTAGAAGACTCAGAAATGACTGTCAAAGAATAATCTTTCAATGTGGAATCTTACTTATAAAAATTTGCTAAAGAGATAAAATAAAAAATGTTGCTATCAAAAGGCATTAGCTGCTATTTTTCTAATTCCGGTCAGAAATGACTGTCAAAGAATAATCTTCCAATTTGGAATCTTACTTATAAAAATTTGCTAAAGAGATAAAATAAAAATGTTGCTATCAAAGGGCATTAGTGGCCATTTTTTCTAATTCCATTTTTTTATATAAACCTAGTCACATGAGTTTGGTTCCTATGTGATATGCCCATTACATCAAATAACTTAAGCCTATTAACAAAGGCTTTGATGGCACTTGGTCCATGGAGATTTCCACTAATTGCCTTGTGCTTTTCAAAGTTCCAAACACACATTACGATTGCTTATTATCAAAATGACTAGAAAGCCGCTACCGCAAGCCTCGCCCCAGACTACTGACTATCAGGATACACTGAGAAAGGTTCTTTGGTCGACAGGATTTTGTAGGAGCAAGACATCAAAACAAACCCCTTCTCAGTGTACGGCCAAACAGGGCACTCACTCTGGACTGATAAACACTTCACAGTGATTCCGATTGGCGGTGAAAAAACATAGGAGGCTTAGAATGCATTGTTATTTTCAGACTTCACAGATCGTCAATACACACTGAAGAACAAAATGGAACGGAGCACTGTGGTCCTTCCCCTACGTCATCTAGCACCTTTCTGCGACTAGCATTTCATAACGGCTTACTGATAATCGTGGCGCAATAGGAAGACTCACCAGAGTGATTAAAATCATTCCTAAAACCACAATAGCGCCATCAATAAACATCGCACAGCAAAGTCAAACAGAAAATATCAGGACTTTGGAACCGGACATTTTAAGACATGCCTGTACTCCAGGCAGCTGATTCCCTGAGTCAATTAGAAAACTTGACATTCCAGCTTCTTGTCTGTGAAGTTTGAATAAAAACGCTTGCTTTGCAGAGAAATTAGGGTAAAGGAAATGATACATACAGACTATGTAGCACAGTGCACGGGACAAAAGAAATCACCATGAACAGAACTGCCATGCTTTCGGGAGTGCAACCATGAACTGCACAAAAACTGATATCAGAGTATCAGTAATCTCAATTTCCATGCTCCATAGGGACATTTAATCAGTGACAAAGGCTGATATTCTCCACAGTGGACTGAATTATTCGGATAGCCACATGATGCCAACGAACAGGGGTATTCACGTGTTAATCAACTGCAAAGCCCTTACACAAATCCTTTTAGAATCTAGTGTGAGCCCACTAATCCTTACCAGTAATTTCCAGTGGACGAAGGCATATTGCATCCAAAAAGTAGCATATGATGGACTGTATCCATGCTGGCACGTGGTTTGAAGTCAACTGTCACGAGAAAATGATACACAAGTGTGAATACAAGTTCTACATCGGTGTGGCACCCTCACAAGGGACTACATCTTTGAACAGTTTGGATCGCTATATAACCATGATGCTTTGATGTGTCAATGGCAAAATGCCCCGATATTTGACATTCTTCAAGATGAGTATGAGTTAATAATTTGATGTAGGGATATAGTAAACTACGGCACATTAAAAAGAGAAAATAAGAATTAACAGGCTGGCAAAGACTGCTATTAACACGCACATTTGAAAATGAACGGTCCCATTTAAGGCAGTGAGTGCATTATGCTGGCAGAGTGTGAATGCTCCAGGCTATGTTATCCACAATCTATTTCCTTCCCACTCGGCCGAGTGCTGTGTACCAGAAACCCTGCACAGTGGTGTAGTGAAACAAAAGGTACAGCGAGCAGCGAAAACATGAGCAGAAGGATTCATAACGTATCTGTATCACCTTAAATAACAACAGCAGTCATTGTGCAATGCAACACACACACACACGCACACACACACAATTTCCTGCAGAAACAAAGGTCTATGTGCAAATGTATCTTTATAAAGATATAGAAATAAAATTTTATCCGAGATGAACTGAGTGCACTGGCTAAAATAATACTGATATTTATGTAATGGTCTGTCTCTTTTCCTTCCAGAATCAGCAGTGGATGATACGACAATAAGAAAAAGGCAGTGCAGAATACAGACATTTTCAAAGCTGTGTTACCAATGGCTGATACTGAACTCTGGCTCCCATTTGGAAGGGACTGCTGTCCCTTCTTGTCCTCACTGACCATGCTACTGTGATGTAGCAGCTCATGTGTCACCAGTTCATACAAAAACCCTAAGTTGTCTAATGTCAAGTGTGTCTTAAGGTACCTTTTGCCTATTTTTATTTGGCGCTGGGGAAAAATAAATAAAGCATCATCTTTTTTTTTTTTTGCTAAAATACATACAGAGGCATGAGTATTTATTGAATAAAAACATTCTGCATCAGACTGTGGCACCAGATTTTCTGGCAGGTCAGGAGGCACGAGGCACATACTCTGGGCCACCCAATTTACAGTTTTCACAAGAGACCAGAAGCATTTTATTCACTGCACTGTAAACAAAAATTTAAAGCTTAAAAACCAAATCATGGGGCTTTCATGGCACCACTTAAAACATAACAAAGAGGCTGCCTAGAACTCGGACTTAACTATCACCTGAGGCTCTGCTGTCGCTAAACAAAGAATACAATGGAACTGGGAGATTGAAGCTGTTTTGGACATAAAGAATAAATTGAAAGTTTCAACAGCTGGTAATTTGTCACAGTTTGTTAGCAAGAGAAGCAGAAGATAGAAAAGGGTGTCTGCTTGTTCTGGCCACTCTCACATGATGGACAATGCTTCCTTGCTCTCTTCCAGAATCTTCCCGGGAACCTCTCTGGTTCCTTTTTTGTCAGAAGCAAAACAAAAAAGTTTTAAGGTATAGCAGTTGTCATTATTTGTCTTTTATTCAACTTAAGTTTGCGTTGGTATAACATATAATTAGTAATTTTATGTTTCATAATTCTAAAATTGTATCACTCTATGGACATCTATACTTTTAAAACTATTTTTCTTTTCATTTGTATGAGTCTAATGAATAGACGCCACGTGTTTTCAGTTGCCTACAAAGGCCAGTAGAGGGCGTGAGACTCCCTGAAACTGGACTTTCAGGTAAACTGCCCAACTTGGGTGCTGAGAAGGGAACTCAGGTCCCCTGAAAGAGCAAGTGCTCTTCACTGATGGCTCCTTTCTCCAGCCCCTTTTCTGCACTTATCCTCCCATCACCCCCCCAAAAAAATGTAGCCATGACAAACTGTGAATGGTTTTCAAAAATGAGTCTCATGCCTGGTCTCTTGTATAACCTGTGTTGTTTTCATCCCCTTGGATTATTTTACTAGGGAGTAGCAAGTTTTCTTACCATTGAATCATTGCGAGACTTTGGTTAACAACCAACAAAACTATGTGTAGCTTATTCCAGGAATTAAGGTTTTAGATCCCTGACAATTTGAGAGTCGGGCATCGGTTAAACATTCAGGTGTACACAATCAGCAGCGTTGGAACTGTGACTCTTGGGGACAGGCGGGCAGGGAGGGAGAGAAATATTGCTTCGTGGAAGTCACTCACAGATTAAATGCAGAGCTGTGTGGTGGCCAGAGTAGGAACCTTGGAGAAGGCTTGGGACAAAGGGACAGAGAAAGCCCTGGGCTGTCAGGATTCCTTTAGAAAACATCAGTCGACCGGTTTTATATTAATGCTATGAGGGCTTCCCTGAGAAACAAGGCAAGAACACTGCCCTGCCTTTTTTTTGCAGAAAAAGGTGAGTCATCAGTAATTCTCCTAAAAAGATGCAGATGAGCATCCTGAAGGCAGCAATAAGCTCTGCCTGGGCTTTTTACAAAGAGAACAATGGGGGTGCCTAGGCATCTGCTTAAACCCCAGGACCTTCTGACACCGTGTGTTCAGTAAAGCGCAAATTCTCCAGCCATCTCTTTTAAAACCTCAGCCTGACATACTTCCTTACATAGTACTTACTTGCTTTACATCAAAGCTTTACTAGCTGTAAGTATGGTTTTATTTCTAAAATGAGAAATGTCTATTATTAAGCAGTTGCAAAAGAAAATTCCACAGTTCCAAGTTATAAAACTTATACTAAAACAAATAAAACCATCCCACCACAGCCTTATTCTTCCAGAGTCATAGATTCATCCCGAAATTCAAGATGTAACTTAAATGCTAAAGAAATTATGGGCATAAGGTGAAAAACATGACATCCTTTTTCATAGTCTAATGAAAAATATACCTAAGTATTTTTATAATTATAGCTCAAACTACAGTCCACTGCAAACTGAAATGAAAAATACCTCCAGCTGAAAGAAGTCATATTGAAATGTAAATCTCAAGCAAACAGCAGATGCCTTACAATAATGCAGAGCTTATAAAATTCCACCTAAAGGCAACACATGGGCAAAGAGAGTTTGACAGGTTCATTTCCAAGGCTGGTTTCATATATTTCTATAGTCCCTACTTCCTATAGAAATGCCAAGGCTCCACCCCCTGTGCATAGGGTTAAAGTCCACTGAACAGAAGACATGCACGTGATTTTGGAGATCTCAGCAGAACAAGAAACAAAGTTTACAAACATAAAATCCTATCTTCAGAGAAACCGCTCCCTTCCTCCTCATCCCCTGACGTCCTATCACATGCCAAAGAAAGAAAGGATGCCAGGGAAAAGGAGGAGGGAGGCAATAAAGAAAAAAGTGCCGGGTGAGTGTACTCTTCCAGCAGGCAGAACAAACAAAACCTTGGAAGGGGGGCATCACTCAGAACACAGCCTCGTGAGAATGTAAGCGAGTACTATAGCTGATTAGATAGCAAGCACCATCAGTCTTCCAGGTGGGCAATAAGATAACAGTGGTTTACTGGGAAATGATGCTAACGGTGAAGGCCTCTTGATGTCTCTGAGCAGGGAGAATTGTGTAGGTAAGCCCTGGGGACTAACCACCTTGGAAGGAAAAAGACTTCAAAGTAGTAACTCAGATCTATCAATGAAAGGAGGAAGGTGACAGAGAAATGAGCAGGTAGGAGGACTCCCCGAAGGGCGATGTCACCCCAACTGAAAGACAGTAGTATGTGTGGGAAGAACATAAAGACAGACAGACAATGAGCTCTATTTCTGGAGCTCCAAGCAAAGTCTGTTTTAACTGCATGAAGTTCCCGGGATATTTATAGCCTCTTTTAGCTAACATCAGTTTGCAGCTGGGGCGGTGCACATTTCCAAGACTGTGACCCGGGAGAAACTTTCATTGAACACTCAGTTTTCTCTCCATTTCTCCAAGTGGATTTCCAGGAGGTCTAGGCCTACATGTCAAACTGGATACATCGAACTCCTGAGTTGGAAACGCTGTGAAGAACACACTCAGCCTAGAGGAGGAAGCAAGGACCTGGAAGATTTCCATGTACATATAAGCAACACTGTCCAAATGGACATGGCTACATTAGCTTTTTTTTTTGCTAAGGTTGTGCAGTTGAGGAAAACGACCAACCTTAGATATTTATTTACCTATCGGACAGAGTCGAGTGTGTGTGCATGTGTGTGTGTGTGTGTGTGTGTGTGTGTAAAACTATTGGTATACCCCTTTTTTAAGTCTGTTTCTATTTCTTCCCAGTGGGATGATTAGGTATAAATAATTGGCTTTAGTATACTACGGATATTACTTGATGCTGTCAAATAATTTTGTTCAGCAATACTTTTCAGCCTGGGTTATAACTCAGAATTACCTAGGGAGTTTGCTAAAATAATGTGGGCTTGGGTTTTAGTCCTGGGGTAGAAGGTTTGTCTATCTTAGGTGATCCTAATTACAGCCACGCCTTTAGTCGTCGACTAACACAGTGTATACATTTTCAGGTTTTGGTTAACTACTCTTGGCTCATTTTAGATTGCTTTTGTCTTTTAACTTTACAGAGTAAGGTTTCTCTGCGAATAAAATTGTAAAACAAGTTCTAAAGATGAAACCCGAGCTTTCCTACTTGCCCAAGTAAGACACTCCTACAGCTTCGTCCTAGATGGTGCCATGTTTCTGGAGGAGAAGTAGCCAGAACACACATGGAGTGGCTTTGGATTGAATCTGTAGCTACGTTAAAGAGCCGAGACACTGGAAGTTGGTCACCAGCCAAAGGCTTTTTCTGCCAAGCCTGACAAATTGCGTTTGGTGCCTAGAACCCATATGGTAAAAAGAGCTTCCAGAAGCTGCCCTCTGACCCCCACCCAGGCATCACAGTGTCTGCCCCCTCCAAAATAAAATAAGTAAGCATATGATTTATTATATTAATATTCTAGTGATTCAAGCCATGCTCAACAGAACTAGGGAAGTATACAGCCTAAGAAACTGAGCAATATGAAGTGTTATTGGAAAAGAAATCCCCCAGTTCTTAATATTACTCCCTTAAGCATTTCTTCACACGGACTAAATAAAGATTACACTTCAAAACTGCTGCAGAGAACTGAAGAGGGCTTGTTCTGAAGAGTAATTTAAACGTAGGAGCAGATGAACCTTAATGCCCATAATATTTCAGTTAAAAAAAAAAAACACAGCTGTGAAAGTCTCGGCGCCACAGTTCTTTGATGGCGTGTGAGAGGCCTGCAGCGTACCTTAGCGGTCTTCTGCCGGCTACCCAATCACATAGGGCAATGCTACAAATCCTATACTAAAGGACTTTCCAATGAAAGACTTTTACACAGTAAGCTTAGTAGACAGTTGTCATTAACGCTTATCAAGATGGACAATGATGTACGCTTTATAACAAATCTGTAACGTAGTTTATGGGGGCTGTCAGCTGCTGTTGGAGAATTCACCAAGAAACACATTGAACATAAACTGCAATTGCAATAATCCTGATGAACGAACAAGTCCAGTATAAAGAAGGAATTAAACTTCCATTCAAAACTGCCTTTCATGGTAATGGGAGAATGAACAAAAGAATCAACAAATAGATTTTATCAGCCAAGCTGTAAGACAGAAAATGGCATAAGCAACATTAAGTTCTATTTTTCTATGTTATTGCTTTAGTGGTCCTAGATTTACTTCCTACAGAATGAAACCTATATTCCTGTTCCAGCCTTTTAAGGACATTCATAATACTGGGCCATTTCCTACCTCAGACTTGAACACACTAACACTGTACACACCCTCTGCACTCTGAAAGACAACCTAGCTCCCCAGCTTTTACACTTGCCAACATTCATCGTGTGGTACCCTTGCCAGACACACGCTTAGTTCTCATAAAGCAGTGGTTCTCAACCTGCGGGTCTTGACCAGTTGATGGGGGTCAAATGTTAGGTATCCTGTGTATCAGATATTTACATCATGATGCACAACAGTGGCAAAAGTGCAGCTATGAAGTAGAAATGAAAATAACTTTATGGTTGGGGTCATTGCAACATGAGGAACTGTATTAAAGGTTGCAGCATCAGGAAGGTTGGGAACCACTGTCTCCTCGGCACTATGAGCGAGTCTTAAGTAGAGCCGTGTGGTAACTTGTCCCTCATCATGCAGTCAGCACATGGTGAAGGTGGCATTTGAAGACAGCGGTCTAGCTGCCACTCACTTTTAACCACTTGAACATCTCTTCTCATAGCTGTGTTCAGTGAGTTCCTTGGTGCTCATTCTGTGTGGCCCCTGTGTTATTCCTCACCCCTGTATATATGCAAATAGGCCAAATTTTCAGGCCCTGCTCAAAACTTGCCTACTTTCCTCTTGGGAATTTCCCCAAGTGGACTACACTATTGTATTTAATTAAAGACTTCCCTACAGTTAGATTTACAAAATACAATCAACTGGTTCCTACTTCCAGTCTTATATTTCTTACTACCTGAGTGAAGTCTAAGAGCTATCAGGTATAGTCATGTCAGAAACATGGCTGTTTTGGCAGCTAAAGGATTGAGGACATTCAAAAATATCCTGAGAAAAGGTTCAGCGACAATGTTCACTTCATAATTAAAACTGAAAAAGTGAGGCTCTATCCACTCACTTGAGACTGTTCACACCCTTTGCTTTATTTGTGTTTTCAATGGTAGCTTTCACTAAAGAACACCAACAACAAGCTGGGAGACCTCCTGATGGTGCCCGTTGGAAGGCTCTCAGTATTCACCTGCGAGTCAGAAGGCTATGGACTTTATGTTGGATAAAATTCTAGTAAGGGAGGAGGAGATACCCAGTCATCTGTTTGGAATCAGAAGGTCATAAGGACATAGGTATGCACACACGCTTCTGGTTTACTGTTCTCAAAGCCACAAAATGTGTGTCCAAGCACTGCAGCTTGCTAGACCTTGGGTTTGCTGGCACAGTATCTGGTGGTTTTTGTACAGCACCATCCAAACCAGACCATTTCTGTAGTTTTCACCTCTGCGGAAATGCTGTTTAAGAAAACTCACATCTGGAAATATTCTATTCCAACAATGCAATTCTGGAATAGGGGTTGCGTGACATTCAATGTAAGGGCCCAGGGAGAAGAGAAGCAATGATTCATTACATTAATTTCATTTATTTTGAAGTTCAGCTACGGTTTCCTCTATTGCACAGAGTTATCTGATGGGTAGGGACCTGCCATCATTCACTAAGGAAAAGACACATTTATTTACTGGTCACCCACGTGAAGGGCAGCAAGTGGATGAAGATGACAGTCAAATTTCCTGGCTGAGTGAGCAGCTGTCACAGCCGATTCCTCTGAGTGTCTGTGAAACGCCTCTCAGACAGCACCACAGTCAGTGGTCAAATGCAGATTTACCCTAACTCTCTCTACGCACATCTTTGACTTCTTCTTATAAACAAAAGCAATGTTTTAGAAAGAGGTCTAATTTTGTTCCCAGGAGCCATGAAACTTAAGAAGAGAAAGAGCAAACAGAACAAATAGCAAAATATGCTATAACCCATATTTTAAAAAAAGGAAACTAAAGAAGAAAATCCAACCTAGTGTTGCCAATGAGTTATGTCAAGTCTTACTTATCAGAAGAGATAAATTCTGAGATTAAGAATCTGGAACAAGACACAAGAAAGTACAGAGATCGTCCGTCATCAGACCCCATTAGAACGGGTTAGCTCCAGTAACACACAGCCACAATGACTACGCTGGGACTCTCAGATGGTACATCTAATCACCAGTCACCATGAAGTGCTGGTACCCAGCTCCTTCTACAACTTATGCCTTTGTAAAAATGGTCAGTTGGTGTTAAGAGTTGGCTTTCCACTTTATACTCGGAATGGGCTACTAATGAATTTTGGTGACAGGCTACCTGCTGGATTCACCTTGATAGAAATCATCATTTCCAACAGGTAAGAAAATCTATATGCATGAGATCTTTCCAGTAATAAAAAAGGAAGAAATGGTAAAAAAAAATGTTAGAAGACTGGGTGACGGCCTTGGAACTGAAAGCAGTTTAATCTTAGAAGAGAGATAGCTACGAAAATAAAGACATGTTGGTAGCCTGGTAACAGCACAGAACTTCATGGATTGCCCATGAGTTCTCAGTTGCTTGACTGAATATACTTACTTGTGCTTCACAACTTTAAATTATGTGAAAGTAAGCACATTAATATTATGACAGGACTAACACATTTCAGGGCATATTTATGGTCTGAGAGTGACCAGCCCTGAAAACCACACGCTTCTCACAGCCTCCAAACACAAAGCACTAACTGTTAAGGTGAAACACTTAATACTGCTGTGACCTATGACAGCTGTATTTACACAGGTGTGCGGGATGGCCATCTCCATAAAGCAAGTGTGACAAGGAAGGAATGAAAACCATCCCTAAACTTAAACAGAGCAAATGTAATACTGGTGAAGAAAAAAAAATCCATTTTATAGGTAAATATTTTTCTCTCCTAGGCAGCCAACACGAGGATATGAATGAATATATTTTAAGTTACATTTGGGGTTATTCAAAAAACTATAATTAGGACCTTAAGTTGTTTTTTTATTTTTAAAGTTACTCAGTTTAGCCTTGGGGGAACACTGCCTTTCCTAAGCCTATTCTGGTTAATGTCCAACTACTACACCAAAAACCCTTCAGGCAATGTTCAGCCTGTCATGATGTTTTTCTCGGAGAGCAACTACTGAGCAATTCTGTACAGAGACTGTTGTTGCAGGGTTGTTTTCTGCTGTCGTTATTACAGACAGAGTGCAGGGAGAAAGAGAGAGAGAGAGAGAGAGAGAGAGAGAGAGAGAGAGAGAGAGAAACTATGTGCAAATGTGGCTTTGCAGGTCTATAATGGACATTCCTGAGGGAAGCACCTCATGAAAATTCATTCTCAGACGGCCTCATGACTACACTGTCCACATTTTAGTAATCACATAACAGCCATTGCAGGCAGTCCTTGAGAAAATAAGTTGTATGGGACCAAAGTACAACTCTTATTACCATTAATGTCCGAACATCAACATTTTAAGCCAGAAAAGAGAAGGAGAAAACAAAAAGAAAAAAAAAGAGCACTAATAATGTGTCAATCACTTGTTTTCCCTAAATATTAAAAGTCTGACATAAGGGATCCTTAAGACCATCGATATGGGAAAGATGGTGCTTTGTCACTTCTAGGTGACAGAAAGGCACATCTGGGAAGGACAGTCATTTAAGAGTCTCCTTAGCCAACAGTGTAAGTAAAAGAATGGACCCTCCTTCTCTATCTCCGATCTTCTCTTCCACGCTCTCTCCCTTCTTTCTTCTCTCTGCCCTCTCTTCTTTTCCTTTCTATTTTGTCCACCTACCTGTCTGATCAGTAAAATATTACATTTCCCAACGTTGTTTTTAAGTGTACTCTATTTATGACACAGACCATCAGGTAAACAGTTTGGTTAAGCACAGAGGAACTGAGAATCCAGCTACAGACAGAAAGCCAATACTGTACAAATGGGACCACACAACACTGGTGACTATTGACATCTTCACGCAACTCCTTCGCTACCACCGCTCGTGCATCTCTCCGGATACAGTTCGTAATCTTGTCTCCAGCAGCTGCCTGTAGTTTCTTTTCGCATTAGGCATGATAAATGCATTTTGGAAACTGACAGGGGAAGATTAATACACTCATAAGCACCAAAGAGAACCTTTTACTGATTTCAAATTGCTGTTCTCCCGTCCCCCACTATCCAAAGAGTACTTACTCACGAAGGCTTCCTCCTCCACAGGCAGACGCATGGCCATGCAGAAGTATGTGTCAGACTGTTAAAAAGAGAAATAAACAAAATCCATTTTAAATGACTAAGAAGATTGAAATGATTACTACGGAATGCATGGCTTCTAAGACTGAAGGGGAAGCATTCACTCCAGCGAGGTGAGAACGCCTGCCGAAGACTGGGCAGTACGTTCACAGAAAAGCTGAGTCTGAGTATCTTAGAGATACTAAAATGTTTTATACCATGCTTTCATAAACAATTTTGAAGCCCACTTACAAGGGTCATCATCCTGAGTGATACTTCTAGCATGGTCACAGTTAAAAGGCAACATATTACATATTAGACACTTTTCTAAAAATATGTAAGACACATCTGAGTTGAAATCAGGATGAAATCAGAACTGCATCAGAGGTAGTTCTGACCACCTTTGCTATCCATCAAATTAAGTCATTTCCTATATCATTTTATATACGCCACAAACATTAATCACCACACATCTTAACAGCAAAAGTTGGTTTTAGATAGAATGTTGCATATGGTTATTTCCTTACTTTAAATTTTCATGTTATTCATTGAAGAAATCAACATAATCTCAAATTAGTCTTCCTTTCCCAGTAATTGTTCCTCGATCAAAATGATCACTTTTCCTCTTTTAATATCATTGACAGTAGCATCAAACTCTTCAGTGAGCCAGGTGTGCCAGTGTATGCATATAGTCCCAACTACTCTGGAAACGCGCCAGGGGGGCTGAGCCCAGAAATTCAAACCAGCCTCCATATCGTATACCCTTGTTTAGAAATACCCTATTTCTAAACAAGAAAGAAGTGAAACGAGAAATCGAGTAATAAAAGCTTGAACCGGAAGACAGCAGGCCTATGAAGAAGACCTAGCTGGAAATCTGTATGCAGTGAAGTGTGTGTTATGGCTGATACGGACATAGTTGCACTCAGTCAATAATTCATACTTCAGACATTACTATTGCAAAGTGCCAGAATCAACAGACCCCAGCAACGTGGATGCAGATCATCTGAGTGTCTCAAACTGTACAGTTAGCAGCTAAAAATCGTGCATGTAACCTTAATTTCTAACCCCTGTCTTAGGAAACAAAGAGGTTGGAATACACAAAACAAGTATCATAAAATTTAGAAAATTATGCAGGTATGATTTGGTCATTGTTACTCCTTTTCTTTATGACATTTTTTTTTTCAGTTGGGAAAATAGTTTCACTTGGTAAAACCTCTGCTCGAAAATGTGTGGTGAAATGTTACAAGTTGCACAAGACAGCCACAAAAATGCGGGAACAAGGAGCTTTGTACATAGATCCTGTGATACATACAGAGAAAACAGGGTCTAAGCATCTTAAAACCATGAATAATCATGTCTAAAATTATTTATAAATATTATTGTAAAGTTCAAAAATGATATTATAAAATAACTACTGTCTTAAAAACAGTAACCTTGGTGTTCTTTTGTATTTTACCATCATGTGATTTTAGAACCTACATTTTCTGTGACTCCTATGACCCCTGCTGCTATTTCTAGAGTTATGCTTTGATACCTGTGTATCAAGCACGAGTTAGTGTTTTCCTACTACTGTGCTGTTTAAAGCAATAAAATAAGGTAGACAGACAGGACCGCTCCACTTTAAACTGAGGAAGGCGAATCATGAACATTTATTTATTGAGGTCTTACTACATGTCACTGTTTTTCATAATTGACTCCTCTCAACTTCCAAGTGCACTGCTGTATCATGGGCACGGTTATTACCCCCACTTTACAGACGGGGAAACTGAGGCAATTCAAGGTTTTAAAATCTCTGAAATGTGTTCTACAGACAAGACTATCCCTTTGATCAAATTCTAGTCATGCTCTTTGGAGACTTCTTCTTAACGACAGCTTTAACCTTCAAAAGCTTCATATTCTCAGTTCAAACCATGTTTCTGACCCCTCCATATAAATACACACAAGAGACTTGCTAAGCCACCAACACAAGTTTCACAGCTTCAACTCTGCACCTCTAGAATGACTCCACCATTTTTTAAGAGGCCTGCTTCACTCTGCAAACAAAAATTATTGTCTGTAACAGCCTAAAGGTAGTACACAGGGCTAGGTGCCTAGATGCCCATTACATCAGTTACTTTGCAAAGGTTCCAATTCTGCTTCCTTCCTCTGACTCTTAAGATGTAGTCTACTATCTCTAATGGGCTTGTGACATTCAAGGAATATTGCTCAGCTCCCGGTGCCCCACTCTGCCCCATACTAAGACAGCCTGTCATAAAGATACAAAACTCCTGATTTTCCTTCCAGTTATGCCAATTAACAAACTCTGGTGGCCGAGGTCCAGAGGCAAACCCTTCTTATAATCATCGGCACACCCCAAACTTAAAAGGTTGCCTCCGGTTTTGTCCTGGAAAGGTTCATTTCATCCACAGTGGTTAAGTTACCCCAAGCAGAGTCTCAAATGAATAAAATCTGTTCTTCGCACTTGAGCCTGTATCAGGCCTTGGAAACCCATGAGAACAGTTAGCTGCGATCGGAATACAGTTCATCTAACACATCACAGATAACCCAAAGCGATGTGACAAGTACCAATTCGAAAGCAAATATAGCAATAAGAGCATGTTAAAGAAGTTGAGCATGTACTTATAACTGAAAGCCCAAATGATTAGGATGAAATGCAAATGAATCCAAAATTCCTTTTAAAATTTGGGAAAAACTGTTGGTGTTTTACTCTTTTGGTGTAATCCAGTTCAAGCCTACTGCTGAAATAGGAAAGATATTGAGTTAAAGGGACACATCAAATTGTGCAACCCTATTCTCTTGATAAACGCTAAATGCCAAAATGCAATGCATGAAGATTTTTTATAGATATTAATATACAAAATATAGAAAACTACTGTTAATATCAGATTCATGGTGTGATTTATTCATCTTACCCGCTGCTCAATTTAAAATTAGAAAAACTTGGGAATGTCTTTCTCTTATGAATTTACATTCTTAGATGGTAGCTTCTTTTGTCATGAAAATGTTTACATTTCAGCTGCTTATTTCCTAGGCTGCTAAAGTCAATCGCAAAGAAGATAAGACAGGAAAGGAAATAAAAGTATGGGGGAAGAAGGGAAGAAGGAGAGACAGATGCAGAAAAGGAAGAGAAAAATGGAATGAGACAAAGACAAGCATCTTAATTATTTTGGGAGAGCGAAGACTATAATGAGTTCAGCATCAGTGTTGACCATGAACCATCATAGTCTGATCTTACTTATAACCCCTTGTTGAGATAAAGAGTAATTTCTGTATGAAAAGAAAAATATATGGCTTTTCCTTAAAACTGAGCTCATTTAAAAATACAGAATAGCAAATCAATAATTTGCCTTCAGCTGAAAGCTCTGAAAACCACACAGTTCAATAAGATGGGGGAAAGGGCTGTAATAAAAAAAAAATCAGGATGTTTTGTTTTGGAATATACTGTTACCATGATATGTTACTTACAACTAAGGTAAGAAGAATCCAAAATCTACATAGAGAATGCATCACTTTCAGAGTGCAACTGGACAGACGAATGGGAAAGGATGATTCATGGACATCTTCAGCGGTCTCAAGGTCGGCAGAACATGAGTGCACATATTCTTTACAACGCTATTTGTTTTATTCTCATGAGTGCATTGTGAGAAGACTTAGCAGACCGTACATCACCTTATTTTTTTTTTTTAACAGAAAAGTCACTGTGCTGATCCACTTAAGGCCACCCAGGTAGTTAATGTTGGAATAGAATTACAAGTCTTCTAGTTCACGCCTGAAGAACATCAGAGATAATGGGGTATAGTTCTTATCATTTTCATTGGGTTCAATTTTAATCTATTTAAATCTGTGATTGTGGCTAGCCTTTAAAAATCTAATGGTTCTCCTTTCTATAAAGATTAAATTGGGGTCTCAGTAGTCCTCATTGTCCGCTATGTTTAGCGAGACCGGTTTTAACCCAGGCTTTTTCAGTCGCAGGCCACCTGGCCTTGGTGAGTTCCCAATAGAACATCCCCATTGTCTCAGTGTGTGGGTGCACCCCTCGCGGTCCTGAGTTCCTTTCTTGTGCTCTCTCTCCTTGTGCTCCTGATTTGGACCTTGAGATTTCAGTCCGGTGCTCCAATGTGGGTCTCTGTCTCTGTCTCCTTTCATCTACTGAGACCCCAAGAACAATGGCAATGGGTTTTTGATCCTACTGCACTTATTGGTTTTGTGGGAGCCTAGGCAGTTTGGATGCTCACCTTACTAGACCTGGATGGAGGTGGGTGGTCCTTGGACTTCCCACAGGGCAGGGAACCCTGATTGCTCTTTGGGCTGACGAGGGAGGGGGACTTGATTGGGGGAGAGGGAGGGAGGCAGC